TTTTAATAAATATATTAAAGCCAACAGGTCAAGGGAGGTGTTTGAGCCCCTCTGCCTCGCTCAGGTGAGATCCCTCCTGCAGAGCTGCCTCCAGCTCTGGGAAAGGATGTGGAGCTGTTGGAGCGAGTGCAGAGGAGGCACCAAGATGATCAGAGGGATGGAGCAGCTCTGCTGAGAGGGAAGGCTGAGAGAATTGGGATTGTTCAGCCTGGAGAGGAGAAGTCTCTGGGGTGACCTAATGGTGACCTTCCAGTGCCTGAGGGAGCTCCAGGAAAGATGGAGAGACTATTTCCAAGGGCCTGGAGTGACAGGACAAGGGGGAATGGCTTCACACTGCCAGAGAGTAGGGTTAGATGGGATATTGGGAAGGAATTCTTGGCTGTGAGGGTGGTGAGGCCCTGGCACAGGTTGCCCAGAGAAGCTGTGGCTGCCCAATCCCTGGAAGTGTCCAAGGCCAGGTTGGACCGAGCTTGGAGCAACCTGGGCTAGTGGAAGGTGTTTCTGCCCATGGCAGAGGATTGGAATGAGATGATCTTTAAGATCACTTCCACAAACCATTCTGTGATTCAATATAAAATTTTAACATGGTATTTATATTAGTAAGTTAGATATGTGCAGGCAAATCTTATAAGCAGAACTGAGCAGTAGCATTTTGCATTAAATGTTCCCCTGGGGTGTCCTGGGAAATGTTAGATGTATACTCATCATGGGGGCAATTTTCAGTAAGCCAAGACAGAACCAGAGTCCTTAATTAAGATTAAAACCCAGGGTACATGAGAACCAGTAGTATGACAGCTGTGTAGGCAATAAATATACTCCCTTGTGTTGTGTTCTGAAAGGCTCCCCATATTTGAGAATTATGCACTGATTCAAACAATAGCTTGAATGCTAAAGATCGTTTTTAGTAAACTGTGTGTTTGGCATGTTTTTGAAGGGAATGGGAGAGATGGAAGAATTTTGTCTGAGTGCATCTGTCAGGGTGAAGCTCTGTCTGCTTGTTCTGTCAGCTGGGAAGAGAATGATGAATCCCTGTTCCTGGTTCAGAACTCTCTTACCACACATCTCTGCAAGCATTTTAGTTTTTAATCTAATGAAATGTATTTCAATTATATGGATTGTCATCCTAATGTAAAGGAGGCTTGAGAGTAAAGAGGAGGGGGCAAGTATGCAAAGGGGGGTCTTTAACCCCTTACAAAACCTTCTTCTTGTGATTTCTCTGTTTACACTGTCTTAGATCTGATATTTGTGGTTTAGAATTTTAGAATTATGTTGATAAATACACATTATTTGCTAATCTCTTATAAATAAAACCTACATGAATTGAACTAATCATGAAAACACTTCTTTTGCAAGAGCCTGACAGGAGGAGAGTTATTTAAAAATGCAAAAAAAAAAAAAGAAAGAAGAAAACTTGAGCCTGAGATATTTGCAGGTGTTTGATGCCTGCTCCTGACTCCTTTCCAAGAGCTGGTGAGGGGGTGTTTGCAGCCTGTCACTTCCTCGGTGTGAATTGGGTGCGAATGTGCCAGACAATTGGAACCATCTGTTGCTCGAGGGTGAGCAACAGGGAGGCTGTTTAGTCATCTGGGATAACAAGGGTGTTTTGGAGCCCCTTGTGGGTGACACAGCAGGTCAAATATTGTGATCTTTAGGTGACATCTCCCTCAGGGGTGCAGGTGTGATGTGGAGCCTTGTGCAGGGTACCACTTGTGCCACTGTCCTCAGAGAGAGCCCCAGAGTGCCAGGTTTTGTCCATCTGTGCCTGTTGCTGAAGGAAGCCTTAGTCTGGAACTCTCTGGGAGGAACCCAGAGCATGTGCATTTTGCTGCAGACATTTGGACCTGGGTCAGGGGTCAGAACAGGGGCTGCCTGGCTGTCACCCTCCAAAGGGAGATGCTTTGGTGGCATCTTGTGCAGCTCAGCAGAAACCACCAGGAAGCCTTGAGATGCATGTGAAGGCTTTGAGGCTGTGCCCTGTGAAATGCCATTATACAAGAGCTCTCAGGCAGTCAGTGCAGCACAAAATAACTCAGGAGCTGCCAAATGGTGTAGCTAGATTTCTCCAAATATAAATACCCTTTCTTTTTCTCCCCCAGTTCACAGCTAAAACGTGAATTGCAAAGGATTTGATGATCAGTGACATTAATGACATAATACTGTTGATTCCAGACGTCACCCAGGGGGTGAAATCATGTGCCCTTTCCTTTGACCAGGCTGTAAGCCAGGGCTTTTGCTCTCCTGGAGGGAGATCCTGGTATCTGAGGTATGGCAAGAGCAAATCTCATTCCCCATGGCTGGATTCAGAGCTGACACAGTCCTGGGAGAGCTGCAAGGTGGATGTGACACGTGCAGTGTGCAAGGCTGGGAGCCTCTGGGTGGGCAGGGGTGAGCTGGAGGTTGGAGTGCAGAGACTGGAAAGTCCAGAATGTCTCCAGTGGTACAGAAATGAGAGAAAATGGGTGGTGGATGCTCTGTGCCAGGGCTCATGTAAGGAGATAGGGCAGGGATTGCAGCTCACAGCCCTAGGGAGAATAAAACACGTCAACCTGGGGGTTGTGATCTTAGGGATGCTGGGAGTGGTGAAGGGAAAAGGTATGAGGCTGGAGTCACAGTAAGAGAAACAGTGACCAGGAGTGTCTGTAGTGCAGGGCAGACAAAGCAAATGCTTTAATCTTGTCCTTCTCTCGCTCCCAGTGGGATGAATGTGCTCCCATGTGGGCTGGAGGTGCCTGACTCAGGCTGCACACAGGGGCAGCAGTGATTCTGTTTGGGTGGGTTATTTTCCTTTCCCACCCCTGTGCAGGAGCCTCTTTGTGAATTATTTTATTTAATGTATTTTTAAAGCTCTGTCTTAAGTCCCTTCATTATCCCACCTCCCTCACTGGGGATGTGGGATATCTCCCAGCCCAGGGCTGATGGGGTTCACTTGGTGCCTCTGACACTGCTGAAAGTGCTTTTGGCTCCTGAGCCAGCACAGAGAGGCAATTCCCTGTTTTCTGACCAGTGCAAACCTTTCCTGATCACACTGAGCCCTGTCAGCATCCTCAGGATTCATCGTGCTGGAGACAGTGGGATATCCAGCAGTAGGAGTGTGATGTGCCTAATTTTCAGAATGGAGCTTTCCATTAGCTAAAATCCAAGGTAGGTAAATGATTCATTTCCAAAATGTAAGACTACATTCTGCTGACTTTGATAGTCGAAGGTACAAAGCTTCATTAGCACATTCCCTTGCAGGAAATGTAAATGTGCTCAGTCTAAATGTCAAGGTAGTTGCTGTCCTGAATGAAAAAGTCTGGTTCTTTATTTCCTCTTGCATTTGAATCCTTTCTTGGCATCTGAGAAAAATATATTGGAGCTTGGCAGCTGGCAATTTGTGCTTGACCTGTCATGTACTGAGCACGGTGGGAATAGGTTATGACAGATTTATCATATTTAGCAAGGAGTTTGCTGGTGTCTGGTTAGCACTGGGGGATGTGCTCCCATCACAGGATTTTCTGGAAGAGCAAAAAATCCTCTTGCAAAATTAAGCACAATTAGGAAGCCTCCGTTTTGACACTTCTCAAAATCTTCAACCTGGAGGCTATAAAAACCTGAGTTCTAAATTTGGCAGCTCTGCAGAAGGTTTGGTGGGCTGTTCCTTCCATTATGTCCTTCTGCTTCTGCCCATAAAATGAGTTTCCTGCCATTGGATCTGTCATTTATTTTTATTTTGGAGAAATGTTGCCCATGAGCTGCTCTTTGTTCCTTCCATTCCCAGTAAGAACCCCTTTTTCAGAGGTCTTGCTTGGAAGTGTGATTTTTGGCTGTCAGTTCTCTGCTACTCGGAGGGGCTGGGCATATAAATTGACTCCAGGAAGAAAGTGCCTTAGGATGAAATGCTGGTTGACCCCAGGATGCTCTAGAGGAGGGTTTTTTGTTGCCGAAAACTTCAGCACTGATAACTCTTTATAATTCCTGTGTCTTATTTATGAGACAATTGCTGTGGTTTCTTTGTTTAGAGTTACAGCTGGATATGAAACTAGTCCACAGAACCAACAAACCAAAGGAGTGAAGTTGTTGGGTTTGACAGCTCTGCTAAATTATCCCCCTTTCTCTCTCTCCCCCCAACCCTTACTGTGTAAAAGAATCAGTGAAATATTTTCTGATAATGACTATTTAAATGAAACTTCCTGATTCCCTTGTGGAGTGTTAGCTTTTACATTAAAATTATTTTAAATAATGAGGAATTCCTCCTCAGTCAAATTTAAGAGCACTGTTTGTGGGTTGGGAGGGTGAAAAGTGCATGTTACAAATATAAAGGCACCTGGTGTGTATTTACCAAAGCTGTATACAAGGTAACAGATCCATGTTTATTTATTTAAGGTATGAAAGCTGTTTTTCCAAACAGTATTTGGCAACAGAAATCTTTGTTTACAAGTCCGAATCTTTAAATCTGAACCGCTTTCTAATAACTAAAACTGATTTTTTTTTTTGTTTTAAATGGACCATTCTAACAAATCCTCAACTTTCCGTCAAACAATAATTTAGAGAGCAGCTTTCACCATCTTACAGCTTTGTCCTCCACGATGAAAGCTGTACTAGAACTTGCTGCTCCAAATGGGTGAATCCTTTAGACTTTCATCTTCACCTCTCTTTGCTTCTGCTGCATCAGGCTGGTCTTTCTCATGCCCTTCATGTCAATATTTCTCAGACTGGAGGGAGCTTTGATTCCACCTTTTGGCTAAAATTCTGCTGGGATGGTGTCACACTGAAGCTCATGTGCAGACAGGAGAGGCTGCAGGACGTGGCTGCTTCATATTCCAGGGTCTTCAGGGGGAATGTCTGAGGTGATTCCTGCCAAGGCTGCCTTTCTTTAAGAGCAATCACAGGCCTCTTCGTGCTGTCTCACCTTTTCTCTCTCCTTTCCATCATGATATAATTCTCTCCTCTCCTTGCCCAGTCAATAATGGATATATCTCTTTTCAAGCTCCTAATTAAAATTCCAAATTGTGCTTTTTCAGGTCACGGAGCTCAACAATGTGAAGAATATATTAAGGATGCCAAAAAGCACAAAGAAACACGCTGTGGGGATTTATTTCAGTGATGACACCTCCAAAACCTTTGCTTGTGAGTCAGGTGGGTGAAATGGTAACACACATTAGAAAACATAAGAGCATTAATCGTGGAATTATAAATTATTATATACCTACACGCAGATTTTTGGGCATTTATACAGAACTTGAGGCAGATGAGTGGTGCAAGGTGCTGCAGATGGAGTGTCTTGGAACACGGATTAATGACATTAGCCTTGGAGAGCCTGACTTGTTGGCATCTGGAGTAGAGAGGGAGCAGAGTGGTAGGTACATAAATGTTGACCTTTTCACCTTTTAATGGCATTATTTTAAAGTTTTGAACTGTACCTATGGATATTAGAAATAAATAGGAACAAATTGCTTTTTCAAGCCTTCCTTCTGGTTTTGTGGGGGTTGGTTTTGTTTGTTTGAGGGGTTATTTTTTGACTACTGTTTTTAATTGCTGCCAGAGATAATAAGTAAGGTAACTAGAATTATTTTGGAGCAGCACTTTTCTTTCTCAGACAAGTTAGTTGCTCTTGGAGATGGGAACTGTCTTTTGTTGTGTGTTTTCTTGTATGATGTCAGTGACGGAGGCACTTTGGCAGCATTGTAAAGAAAATAATAAATAATAGTAATTGCATGTAAAACTTGAGCCCATGGCTACTTCACTTTCCTATGCAAATTAACTAATTACCTGCACAAGCAATGTATTTATTATTGCACACAATTTTAGTTGTTTGCAAATGTTAGGATTGTGCTGGTGCAGATCTCTTCAGGCTCTGAAAGCACAAATGTTTGAGTGCAGCATTCTGACTGCCCCAAGCCTGGAGTTCATTGAGTACTGGAAGGAACTGAGTCTTTGTTTCTGAATTAGTTGTTCTAAGTGGAAATAAGATCATGTATTAGAGCTGGAAAATAGGAAATTCCTTGAATGACTTGCACATGTAACGGGCAGGGATTTTAGACTAACCTTTTGTTTTTCTCCCAGAGAGATTCAATGTGTATTTGATGCCATCCCCTAATTTAGATGTGCATGGGGAATGTACCTTGCAGATAACATTTGAGAATATCTGTCTTTGGGACATCCAGAATCCCAGAGTTAAACTCGTCTCTTGGCCATTAAGTGCCCTCCGACGCTACGGGCGGGACCCCTCGTGGTTCACCTTTGAAGCAGGGAGGTAGGTCTGGGTTTATTTTATTGTTATATATTGCTTTTATTTCCTGGTGCTGCTGGGTGGTGCTCTGGACCACTTCTGAAAGGTGTTGACCTTCAGCCAGAGGCCAGTCTGGACCCACTCCTAAAAAAACAAAAAAATATTGAAACAAATATAAAACCAAACAAAAACCATCTTGATCCCGGTTGGATGGAAGCAACTGCCAAATAAATGTGCCTGAGGGTGGGTGTGGGAGAGCTGAGGTATCCCAGGGGATGGCAGGGTGGAGGGGGACAGTGTTGGATGTTACTGTATAGAGTTATACTTAAATAAAGCAGTATATGAGCCAGAGAACTGAAGGGACAGATCTGGGAAGAAGAGGTGAACATCATTCCAGAATTTGTACAATGTGGGCCTTTGGGCAGAGAGTTATGGGGTCTGTACCAGGAGAAGTGGAGTTTGGTCTTGAGGGCAGTGAGTGCCAAGTTGTTTCCCAAAAGCAAACTAAAGGAGAAGGAACTCCTGTTTTCCACTGATTTTTTTGTTTGTTTGTTTGTTTTTGAACAAATGGATTTATAAGAAATGTGAAATGCAATTCCTTGGTTTAGAGATGTTCTGTATTGCTCCTGCAGCTCTGTTGTAATGAGCTGAAGACTTTGGCTGGAGCTGGAGCACTGAGGTTGTTGAACTCAACTATCAAATAATTCTCAGGGGATATGGATGCTTTATTTTAGATCAGCACATTAAAGAATTACAATAGTAAAAGAGAAATGGATCATACAATTAACTTATCTGGGCAGGGAAAAGGCATTTGGATTTCCATCCTCCATATTATGCAGGATTTAGCCCTCTTGGGCAGGGGAAGGAATACATTTTCATTTAGCTGATAATGCATCAGGACAATGCAATTGGGACGCAGAGGATTTGTATTTATTGTTTCAAGTGGAAGATAAAGCTGTGCAAAACTCATTACTGGCAGTGTTAAAAGTCTGAAGGGGAAAGACAAATTAATCTTACCTGGCACAGATTCTAGATGGAGTCTAAATATAAAAAATCTGGGTCTGGTGTGTGAACTCTCCAGAGCTTGTGATAGATCAGCAGTGCTGAGCTGAGTCCCTGGCTGGGACAACACAAATATGGCCTGAAACAGTGAGATTGGACCAGGGCTGCTAAGAACCAGGGGCAAAGACTTTCAAATAACTTTGTTCCCTATTTCAGCCCCCGTTGTTTCTCACTGCCTGTGCAGTGACACTTCTAGAGCAGCACAGGAAAGTTTTGCTTGTTCGTGGCGACCTGTAAACTTCCATCTCACACCTGGATCCCTTCTGCTCTTGCTTTGGCAGGATGTGTGACACAGGAGAAGGACTGTTCATCTTTCAGACCAGGGATGGGGAAGCAATCTATCAGAAGGTTCACTCAGCTGCTTTGGCCATAGCAGAACAACACGAGCGTTTGCTGCAGAGTGTGAAAAATTCCATGGTACGGCTGCTTGTTGGGCCTGGTATTCCAGGCTGGAATATCCAACCACCAAGATGTGTCTTTGGTGGAATTTTAAGTTTTGATTTAAGGATTCTGATTATTGCTCTTATTAAATTCTGCTTGATTATAAACTGTAGGGTAATATGTATAACTGCAATTCCTTTTCAAGAATCAAAACAAGAGGGAAACTTTCAGTCCTCGATCTTCGTGTTTGCAAAGCTGTCAATAAGTGTGAATTGATACAGAGATAAAAGCACATTCTCATTAGTTTCCTTTGATGAATCAGCATCATGAGTTTAGTTGGAAGCATTTCTCATCAGTCTATTTGCAAAATGTTGTGGCTCGTGCTCAGTTTTCTGTTTGCTAATGGGTGTCTATACTGAAGATTTGGGAAGAGTCATATGGTTCATATTAAACCATGGAGAGGACTAGGTGTTTGCCTGATCTCTCAGTGAATATCTGTTTTCCACGAGTGCTTTTTGTGTCTAAAATTTGGTTTATGACACACATGGCTGGTAGGAAATATAGAAGTGGAAGATGCAAAACCAACAAAAATGATAGTGAGGGATCTCCAAAAGCTTTATGTCTAAGGAAGGCAGTTTTGTGGCACTTGCACCTAATGTGTTTCAGGGTCTTATTAACTTCTAATTTAATTTTTTGTTTGCTTATGAAGCCTGTAGAGTGAGAAGGAGTGTTTTGTTTATCTCATTTCTCAATTGGTCTCTGCACTCCAGGACTCACAGGGTGACTCTGGCAGTAAAATTAGTATCCTGAAGATAAGAGGTTTTCTGGAATATATAGAATGCGCAGAAAGGACAACTGTGGAAGAGCTTGGCTATAAACAACATCTCTATTCCAAGCAGTAGTAATCTGCAACAAGTCTTTCTTCTTTCCTTTGCTGTAAACATAAGCACTGCTGTTATCCATGTCTAATCCTTTCAGTAATTCTACTGTCTTAGTTTCAGAGATAAGTTGTAGTAATGAATTATCCCAGTATTAACTGGATGAACCAGCTGGGATGAAACAGAAAATGCCATTATTACTGTGAAAATTTTAGTAAAGATGAGAGTGGATGTTGAGGGGATGGAGAAGGGAACAAACTGTCTTAAGTACTTGGTGTCCTTTTGTTCTTCCACAATCTTTGCTGGGTTTGGCTTTTGTTTGAAACCAAGAACCTTTTAGTTCTAATTAACAAAAGGAGTTCGAGTTCAAAAATATCCAAAACTGAGACAGATTGTTAGATGATATAAGTGCTCAACAGTGACTAAATTAAGCAGATTAAAATTAACCTAGGCTAGGTCAGCATAACTAACTAACATTTGTATCCACCAGGATCAGAAGTGATCAAGTAACCTGTTGAGAGCACAACTTCATTTTCAAGCAGCAGGGATCAGTTCTGAAGCAACAGTGAATAGTTTTAAAGGCAATTTCATATTTGTTGGCTTTGCATTTATGAAATAGCATCTTTAACAGATGATGTCTGATGCTGCACTGCAAAGTTCCCATCTTACAAATGCCAACAGACTGCACAGATGCAGAGCTGCTGTAGATTTCAATAGGCAGCAGCTGCACAACCTCTCAAAGCTTTTTCAATGAATGACCACAATCCCTAAATCTAATTTTATAGATCCTAGATTCCTAAGTAGGGAATAACAACATATTCCTGATGAGCTGAAAGTCCTGTAATTTAGTAGCAGGATACAATTGTTTCAGAGGAGTCCATGTGCCCCTGAATATGAGTTTCCCAAGCCTGCCATAGGAATGTTGCCTGGTTCCAAAATACTCACTAAGGCTCAGTGGCTTCTCTCGCGTTCAAGATTCTAAATCTGGGATTCAGATTTAAAAATTTAGGCAGAGGGCTGTTATATCAGTGTAGAACTCCATGGCTTATTTTACTGATTACAAAATATTTGTAAAGTACCTATTTGTTCAAATTGATTGATTTCCCCTGTATTTTTCTTCTGCTTTTGAACACCTCAACGAGGAGTTTATTTCAGGGGCTTGCACCTCATCCTCAGCTTTCTATATTGTTCCTGTCTCCAAGACTTACTTACTCTGTGTGGATTCTTAGTATTAGTGAAGCTTGAGTTGTTATTTACAGAAAGGGTAAGTAAAAGAAGAAAGTAGGAGATGTGGTGGTGAGAAATGAAGTCTATACTGAGTGTGTTCTGTTTGCTCCTGGAATCCTGACCACTGCCATATCACTGGAGTGATTATCCAAGGCTGAGGGGAAGGCTTTATTAATCTACCTGAGTGTTCCTGCAGCCTGTGCAAGAAAAAGGAAAAAAGAGAGTTGAATATCCCATGCTGACAGAGTGAAATAAAGCTGCCAAGTTCTGCTGAGAACGTGGGCTCTGATGTGTCTGTCACCTCCCTGGCAGTCACTCCTGCACACCCAGTACGTGGTTCAGAGCGTGACTGGAGCTGGCTCTGGCTCCTGAGATGGGAAGTGGGTGCAAAGCAGTTCCTGGGATAGAACCTCACCCTCACATGTGCTGCTGCTGCTGCTTCATGCCCGGGTCTGAGCACACGCTCACCAGCCTGGGACACTTCCACAACTGGAGGTCGCTTGTTTTCCTTCTGGGTGTATCCACAGCTCTCTCCCTTTTCTCTTTTAAAGGCAAGAATGAGCTGGCTTTGCTTAGTGATGCATGAAACCATTCTGGTCATTTGGTAACCCATCCCATCCAAATGTTTCTTTCCTTTCACTTTGGCCTTGCCAGGCAATGGAAAGAAAATACCTCTTCAGGTTATATTTTCGTGAGGATTTGGTTGCCATGAAAACTGATGGGAGCAAGTACTGTGACTTCACTGCTCTCTCTTCAAGTTGCTTTAAAAAAGACATTAGAACCTGACACCTCACTAAGAAATAATAACTGTGAAGCTCCCAGTCTTGGCAGCTAAAGCTCAGTGCTTCATGGAAACAGATCATCAGCCAGTTTCCTGCAGCCTTCCCTGACTCTTCTTCCCTCTTGAAGTGGGCACTTTGCACTTCTTCCATCTGATGTGTCCCTGTCCAGGCTGGAGCTTCTGTTAGCTCTGGCCACTTCCACAGAAATTCAGAATTAACTCAGAATTAACTCAGAGTTAACTTCTAGAATATTTACCATTAGTGCAAGACAGAGAGTAGCCAAAACAGCAGCAATATGTTGATGCCCCTTAATGCCTGAAGTTGTTTCTGTTACTTGACCAGTCTGTAGTTTTCCTATAATGAAGTTGCAAATGTTTCTTAAACAACTATTGTTCAAATTGATTTTGATCGATTTGCTGGGAAGAAAATCCCCCCCAAAACCACAGCAAGTGCAATCTCCAGGGGGAGGTTTCAAGAGGAAGGTTTGCCTCAAGTGCTAGTTGTCCTGCAAAACCTTTGAAAATTAGGTTGTCCAGCCTGAGGAAACCGACCAAACCTAACAAACTTTAAATCATTTTTATTTTCTTTCCCTTTGGAACCATGTTTACGGCTAACCTGAGAGAACACTGGTGTGCAGGGGCTTTTTATTATTTTTTTTCTTTGTTTGCTTTTGGGGTTTTTTGTTTGTTTGGGGGATTTTTCTGATTTTGTGTGGGTTTTTTTTTTTTAGTACTTTTTCTAAATTTTTGTAATTTTTAATGCAATTTTGCTGATTTGTTAAGGTGGGATCCAAGAAAGAAAATACTTAATCTTTCCTCTGCGAGCCCCAGGACTTCTGAGACCCAGCACCCTGTGTTTGGCCCAGAGCTGGTGTCACCATCCAGGTGACAAGAAGCCAAGAGGTGGGGCAGCAGCTCCCCAGCTGCTCCTGACAGTGACTGGGAGCTGCTCCATCCCCTTCCTCCATGGGTCTCTAGCAGCATCCAGAGCTGTGGGGTGGCTTTTGGTTGTCCCTTGCAGCTCCTCCCATCTTTGCCGTGTGGGTTTAAGCGTGACCGAGCATCACTTGCTGCCCTGCTTTATGTGCAGGGTGCTGTGTTTGAGTCTCTCTGGGGATCCTGATCCCTGCTCAGCTTTGTTCTCCTCCTCCTCTGAGCAGAAATGGGTGAGAGTGGAGGTTTGGTGCCCTCTGGTTATCAGTTTATTAACTGTGTTAATGATGTGTGGAACCGCACGTCCCACCTGGCTCCAGCCTGTGCCCAGACGTGCTCCAGCATGTCAATGCTGGCTGTGGGACCTGCTCCCAGCTCTGGGTGCTCCTGTGGCACAGAGCCAGGGCATTAGCAACTTATCCCTCCTCGTTGTGTTGCCACAGAGATGCAGTAGGTTAATTGTGGGAATGGAATCCATCACCATTAGAGCCGCCGGTGCTCGCAGGCCGAGGTGGTTTGATGAGACACTGTGTATTCAGCACAGAACACAGTAATTCTTATCTTCAACTCTGGACTTTTTAACTTCTTCCCCTGCTGATTGAGTTCAGGCCCTTTTCTGTGTCATTATTTAGTCTTTCTCTGGCTGTGTCTCTGGTTTTTTGTCTCCCAAGCCAGCCTGTTGATTTTTGTACTCCTGCTGACAGCTGAACTATTGCTTGAACTGCCTTAGCTCGCTGTCCAACTCACCAGTAAATGAAACCTCCACAAGAGATACCTACAGCTGAGAAATGCCATCATCCCTGATTGGTATTCCCTGTACAAGATCCCTGGTTGGTTGTTTCCATGGTGCCAAGGTGTGTGTGTGGTGACACTGCAGAGGAACTGTGATGAACATGGTGTAGGTGGGTCCTGGTGCAGTGACTCACATCCAGCTGATGTGGAGGTGGGTGTTTTCAGAGCAGGACTTGAGCTGGGCTTGATTTGGTTTAGTTTTACCTTCACATCACAGGTGTCCACTGCACAGAGAGGAGGTTGAAGGTAGAAAGCACTTCAGAATAACTTGGAAATTGGTCTCTTTGGATACACTCAACCCTCACCCCTTTTCCGTGCTTGCTTTGCCTGTTTGCTTTTGCTCCAAAATATACTAATTTTCTTGTAAAAAGTGCTGTCACCTCTGGTTTTGTGAAACTAAAATGTAAAACTTACTCTTTTGTAAAAAACTGTCTTCATAAATTAGAAAAGTCTAGTTGAACCTTGGTATGTTTGAATGGTGTTTCCCTGAGCTTTGGGAGGAGAATTTTACCTGTATTTTCAGAGAGTTCACATATTTTCTGAGTTGGAAGGGGCCCACAAGGATCATCAAGTCCAGCTCTTAAGTGAATGGCTCACACAGGGATCGAACCCACAGCCTTGGCTTTATTTGCACCAGGCTTTAACTGAGCTTATCTCAGGGTTATTCTGAAGCTTATGATAAAATCCAAATGTTTTTATCAGCTTTCACATATATCTTATTGAATTCATGTAAGAATGCCTTGAAGTAGTCAGTTCTCATGTATTTTTGTGTTAAATCCAGTATAAATAACAGGGGGCTGTGATTATGTAAGAAAATGTAGCTGAAGGCCCTGTATGCAGGGGGAAGTGTGGGATGGGGCTCCCAGCAGTGCACTGCAGCCCACGTGCCCTCCTGAGCACACTTGGATGTGCTATTCATTTGAGGAATCTTGGTGAAGGATGCAGTTATCCATCTCCTGTTGGACTCCTGTGCAAGGTCCTCAGCTGTAGGAGAGGGGAGATGAACAGAAAATGCCTCAAAACAAACGAGAACAACTTGTCCTCACACATGGGACATATCCAGTCAGGTTCTCAGTGTGCCGGGGCTGTATTTAGCTTTGGGAAGTTGCTTGTGTAGCTGGGAAGACCCTCTGCTGGCTGTGCTGCCAAAGGGGGAACACACCAGCCCTGCCCTGCCTTCTGCTGATCCCCAGTTTCTCTTTCAGCTGCTTGGGTTAGGACTCCCCTCGGGGGAAGCAGGGCTTGCCCAGGACCAGGGGAGCACCAAGGTGAGCTGTGGTGTGAAACAGCAGCGTGGCCTCCTAACCCATGGTGTGTTAGAGACTAACCAGTTAGTCCTTGCTGCCGTGGAGACTAACCAGTTAGTCATTGCTACTGTGCAGGGGGCAGAGGGAGGGAGGGAGTGAGTGAGAGGCTGTGCTGGTTGTTTTGTTAGAACTTCTTGCAGGCAGAGGTGGTGCTGTTTCAGACCGTGTCCTTCGTGTCCCTTTGCAGCTGCAGCTGAAGCTGAGCGAGCGCGCCGTGTCCCTCAGTGCCATGGTGCCCCTGCCCCGCAGCGCCTACTGGCACCACATCACCCGGCAGCACAGCACGGGGCAGCTCTACGGCCTGCAAGGTAAGGGGGGCTCGGGGCACAGCTCCTGGCACTGCTGGGGCACTGCCCTGTCTGTCCATCCCACTGCAGGGTGATGTCCAGGCTGAGCCGCTGCCGTCTGGCTGAGGGAGAGGAGGCACGTTCCCTCAGCTCGAGGTCAGGAAGGCTCTGCTGAAACCTGGGCAGGACAGGACAGGGCAGACAGGGGGTGTGTTTTTTAGCAGAAAACCTCAGGAGCTGGCAGGGCTTTCTGGCACTAACATGGACACAACATTTACCAGCATCAAGCATTCAGAAATCACAGTTTTGAACCTCCTGGTTTGGAAAACATTTAGAGTCATGTCCTTTTTTCCGTTTCTTTTTCCCCCTTCTCTCATATTCCAGGAATTTCTCAAGGAATAATGGGTGATAAATACTTATTTTATTTTTTTAAATAAATCCTGTGGAGTTTAACACCTCCACGACATGGAATGTCACCATATGTGATTAAAAATTACTACCCTGACACATGTAACCATATTCTAGTCTGGTCCTCTGGCTTTCAGGAAAAAACCCTAAAAAACCCCCAAAAACCCAAAACAACAAACAAACAAAAAAACCCTGAAAGGCGATATTTTTCCTTGTTCCTTTTTTCCAACACTAGAGGGGGCAGGCAGCACGTGGAAAGCCTCAGTTAACCAGAGGAGGGATGAATAAAAAGCAGCATTTAATGTGGCTGTTCAGATTTGTTCAATAAATCAGGGCATGGGAAGATGAGCTGCTGGTGGCAGCATGTGGCACACAGGCAGTGCACTGGGCTTGCCGTACCTTACTGTGGAGACCTTTATTAAAACAGTAATTCAGAGTTGACACAAGACAAATAGACTGTATGGGCACAAACTACTTGGTTTATATTTAGAAAAATAGCTTGCTTGCTAAACTGGGAGAAAAGGATCATGAGAAGGGGGTCAAAGTCTTTGTGGAATAAGTCAGTCAGGCAGCTAATGTTGGAATTAAGAAAGACACTCATGTTACTCAGTAGTCAGGGCTCCTTCTTCAGTGGTGTCTAATTAGATCAGGTTCCCAGATTCTGGACCACCAAGGTGATCAGAGGGATGGAGCACCTCTGCTATGGGGAAAGGCTGAGGGAATTGGGATTGTTCAGCCTACAGAAGAGAAGGCTCTGGGGTGACCTGATTGTGGCCTTCCAGTGCCTGAAGGAGCTACAAGAAAGATGGAGACCTGGACTGACAGGACAAGGGGGAATGGCTTCACACTGACAGAGGGTAGGGTTAGATGGGATATTGGGAAGCAATTCTTCCCTGTGAGGATGGAGAGGCCCTGGCACAGGTTGCCCAGAGAAGCTGTGGCTGCCCCATCCCTGGAAGTGTCCAAGGCCAGGTTGGATGGGGCTCTGAACAACCTGGGCTAGTGATTTCTGAATTGGTTCTTGTCCTCTTTTCTAATCTGCTGCTCATATTGGGAGCTAAAGTGCATTTTTCATTTAAAATGCAAATTCAGAGCTTTAAAAAACTTAATTTGCTTTGTACAAATTTCTGTTCTGAAGGAAATGGTAAAGAAAACCTGAGTGCAGATGTTTCTGAGGTGGAGCAGCAGATGAAGCAGGGATAGGTTTAATTAAAATTCTGTGAAGTTCACACAGTCCTGTGTAAAACACTGACTGAGGTGCCTGTGTCTTACTGAGGGTTCTTCTGTTTTTTCACATCTGACTTGGCGAAGATGTTTCCAGCCCAGTGAAGCTTCATCGCACGGACACTTTTCCAACCTACAGGTCAGACCATCGATAAAAGACTGTAAAGAACTTCACAAACTCTTGTTTCCTGACCAGCTGCCCCAGTGGATGACAGTGATGATGATGATAAGGATGGAAATGTGGAGAAGTCCAGGCTGGATGAGAGATTCTTGCAATACCAAGGATTTTCTAAACTTTGACAAAAGCGGAAACTATTACTGGGGAGAGGAACAAACCCAACAAACCCTCTGGTGTATCTTTTATATCTTACAGTTGGACAGAGAAGAAACCACTCCCTAAATACTTCCAAATGATTTTGTATGATAGGTATGTTGTAAATAAATGAGACTCTCCTGTGGTAGTGTGGTCCCATTTTTGTCTCTTACAGCTGTGTGTTCACTGCTGTGTCACCCTTGTTTGTGGCAATGCTTATCTTTAGTTATTTACATTATTGTTAACCTAATCCTTGCCCTTTGGAATGGTGGCCAGTTTTAAGCAGCTCTCGGATACAATTTTTCCTGTTTGAAGCCTGATGAAGACTTGATTGATTTCTTTTAAAAGCACCCTCTCTATCTTCTCTTTCCTGTATTTATTTCCATCTCTGTAAACGTTTAAAATAAAAAAGTCCCACTGAATTTGTGGTGCAGTGCTTTTTGTCATTGCTGGCAGTATCACAAACAGCTCTTGTGGAGGCATTAGAGCACTAGAAGGGAAGGACAGTGGTTTCCTTGACATCCAAAGCCACACAACCACTTGTTGGGATTTCTTGGGAAGCAGAGTAGGAGATTCAACAGGAATCTCACAATGCCACAAACGTTTTGTGGCAGAAAGATGATTTTTTCTGTTTTGTGATAGCATCCATGTTAGGCACTGCTTTCATAGTTTCATCTCAGTTTAACAGCAAACAGACTTTCAGAAATAGCACATTTGATTGCTGTTGCTGTGCCAATTGGTCAGAATTGGAGAACAGCTGTGGACAGAAAATTGTGATTATCTTAAATGCTAGCGAATGAGTGAGGTGTAGGTAAATCAACTCGTTAACAAGCTCTGGGTAAGAAGGCCTGATCAGGTTAGATCAGACTGATCATCTCTAACCCCCTCATTCCTGCTCACCTAACAAGCTTAAGGACTAAGGGGGAGTATGGGCTCTGCATATTTTTAATTGTTAAAATATTGGATACCAAAAAACCTAATGGTAATTGCATTTATCCAGGCATGTATAATGTCAGCAGCTCATTTTTCAGCAGATATCCCAGAAGAGAAGTAAAAGAACGCAGTGGCCAGAGTAGGTTTGTAGAGAATGAGCCTCATTTGTTCACGTTTATGGAGAATGAGTTGGCACAGGCTAATTTTCTCAGAGGACAGAGGTAATGGTCTTGGAGTGAAAATAACAAATATCTTGGCTTTTAATAGGAATATGAAGTTTTAGAGCAGACTGGGAGGATGTGGTGTTGATCGTGACCCACATGATGACTAAAAGTAGATTTCCAAACTCTGCTTCCACAGTGGGCTGTGTTCAGAGGTGATGTCAGTGTTCCTGCTGGATTAGGGTAACCAGTGTCTGCTCCCAGCTGTGGTTACTGTGGGAGGGAGCAGTGGGCAGTGTGCTTATTAAAATTGCAGATCTATAACATGGGAAGGAAAGACATGGGACCACAAGATTAGAATACCAAATTAACTGGGTAAATTCAAAGAAATTCAATAGGGACAAGTGGTTTTAAGCAAGGCTTAACTGACTACCCAAATACCTGATGGGAAGGGGAACAAGAGAGCAGCTCTTTGGAGGGGATGTAGGGGCTGTAGCAGTTTGCAAGTGGAACATGAGGCAACAAGGCTGTGTTGCTGCTAAACAACTAAGTGTCATAAGGGAAGGTAAAAGGGTTTGGCTTTCAAGGCAGCTGATACAATTCTGCTCTGCTTTAGGCTGGCAAGGTCTTGGCTGGAGTCAGGATGTGCTTGGAGCTGTGCCTGGTCACAGCTGACACAGTGGGATACTCCAGCTCCTGAAGTGCCCTGTGTACTCTCTCATGTCTTTACCTTCCTCTACTAAACAGAATTCCTCTTCAGGAACAGGGAAGAAGCAGATGTTTCCAAGCCAATCCAGCCTTTCTGTTTGTTACAGCATCCTGAAGTAACCAGTCACTCCAGCAAGATCTGGTTTTAGGCTTAGGATCTACCAGTTTAATAAACATATTATCAATTTTGGAGTAAAACACTGGAAAAAAGGTAAGATGTTGGGTTTCTACATCCAAGAAGGTTGTAGTAACAAAACTAGAGGTGAGGGAGGCTCTCAGGAAAGCAAACCCTGAGTGTGGTGAAGGTAAATGTGTTTCTGAAGGAAAAAAATCAGTGTGCCATTATTGTTTAAGGAACACTATAGTGCAAAGTTAAACTTAATTTATTGTAAGTAAGCACTATGTTCACTTTATTTCCAAGCTGAACTGCTAACATAAATAAGTGATTGAAAGACATGTTATGACTAACAGGCCTTTATCTTTCAGGCTCACTTCTGCTAGTGTGTTCCCTTTGGAGCTGGCAGCATCTGCTGTTTTATCATGGATATGACAGTTCAGTAAATGCTTTTATTCACCTTTCACTCATGCAGTGATTGATATAGCAGGACTATCTGTGCTTGAACAGTTCAATTACAAAGAGGACAAAAAAAGCCACCCCAACCTTGTCCTTTAAATGAAGGGTCATTAAATCAACTAGCTCTGATATTATTTTTTCTAGTGAAACTGTCAGTGAAAGATGGAAAAACGGCCTAAAAGTAACTTTGCTTTGAATTACTGTGTGTATGACACGATATCAAGAAGCTGCTTTGTTTTAATTTTTGATACTAATAGATTTAATTTCTCTTTGCATCACTGCTGGCTCAGTTAGCAAGGTCACTGGCTGAAGGAAGTGAGAGAGTTTGGAGAGTTTGCTACTCCTGTAGTTAATAGATTTAGGGCAAAGGAAAGGGCTTCCCCAGTTTGGAGCCAGAGTGTTCAGACTGCAAAGCAGACTGTGGATAAGTGATGATGATGCTGTTTGTGCCAGTTGATTTACTGTGGTACCTGATACACTGGTGAAGAGAGATGCTGGACTGAGTGGAAATCCCTCAGGTACCTGAGCTGTGCTCTGTCTGAAGAGATGCACTTCAGAAAGTGTACTGCAAACCCATTTGTAGGGCTGGGGGGTTCAGGGTTACCAGGGATTCAAGGATCAGTGTGTGACAAATCCTTGAGAGCTAATTTTCCTCGGTGTCTGCCCTGCAGGCAGCCCCTCCACGTTTACAGACCTTCACAAAGGGTTTTTTGAGCTTGTGCTGTGTGTGAAAAGGACAATAACAGTTTTGCAGCCTGGTTTCATTTGCTCCACGTAATTCCAGCACAGCCTTTTGTATCCTTCAACCTTGTTCTTCCTTGAACATCCACAGAGCTTCCCAGATAACTTCTTCAAAGGCACAGAAGTCTTGTGCAGAGTCATCCCAGCGAGCGGGCCCTTGGCTCTGGGTAACCTCTCCCATTCACACAGCTCTTGGTAGCACTGTGCTGTTCCTCAGGCACAAGATCCAACAGAAAAGCCAGACCCCTGCTCCCTTTCATCCCACAAAAGACCACTGGCCAACCTGCAGCTCATAATAGTGGAGATGGAAGGATATGTTTTAGGGTTAAAGAGAAGAAAGGATCAGATAGAAAGCGTGGAGCTGCTTACCCCGCTTTCAAATCCAGGCTAAGAAAAGTTATTCCGTCTTTTGAGCAGGAATGAACCAGCAAACTGGTAACAGCACAGTGGGGAGAGGGTCCAGCACAACTCTGGATAACAATCCTTAAAGGATAATCTTGCAATCAAGTGCTTTATGGGAAAAAAAAATAATCTAATATTAAGACTTCAAATTACGTTTCTTTTTTGTAGTTGTTTTTATTACAGGTAACAGAATGTAAATGTCGTTATCTGAAATAGCACTGAGGGGAATGGAACTGCTGTAAATTATGGTGCTGCTGCGAGGAATAGCACGGGGCACGTCCTCTCTGTTTCCATTTTATATTCCCATGGAATCGTGCAAGGACTTGCCAAAAGTCACTCAAGACCTCAAGGTATTTTCATCACAGTTCAAAACTTTTTTAATCTTTTTCTCTTTAATAAAGGAGATCTTCCATTTTTCACTGGACCAAGATCTAACAACACAGTTTTTTGCCTCTTTGAGGGAAGGCAGTGATTTAGGTGGGTTGTTTCAGCATTTGTCTGAGTGAAACAGTTTTTATTTTTCATGCTTGTAGTGCTGTTCATGCTTATTCCTAAAATTGTTAGTGTTTAGTTTTCCTTTCCCTTCTCACACCTTACAGCAGAAAAGCATCATTAATATTTAAGCAGATGAACATCTCTTGAAGTTTGTGACTTGCAGCCAGAATGCCATTAATTTAAGTAATCACACAGATAGAATTAAATCAATCAGAGTTGTATCTGAGTCCTGTTGCTGAGCAATTCCAGTGAGTGCATAATAATCCTGCTGCCTCAGGCATCGGGATCAGGGGTCAGGATGTGATATTTCTGTGTATTCATTAACTTTCACAAGGGCAGATTGATCTTCTCTTTCCATGAAGGCTAATGAACCATTTTCTTATTTTTAGGGAATATTCCATCACTACCAGTGGTCCCGTAGTGTTTAAAGAAAGGCTGTTTTCAAACAGAAGGCTCTAATTAGAACCCAGGCTCTATTCATTGCTCGGCACTTCCTCTGTGGATTTACAAATACCAGCAAATAAACTTGCCAGGAAAAAGTTTATTTAGGGGCTTTTCTCTGTAGTATTTAGCCTGTGGATTGTTCTACCTCCTGACAAGCCAAACCCACGGAATTAGGTGCTGAGACGATCAGCCTGGTTGCATTTGTTTAGGAGTGTTTTCCCAGCCATCCCTTTTTTAAACACTCTGAGAGATAAAAGCAGCGAGGTGTTGATTTGCTCCCAGCCATCCAAAAAAAAAAAAAAAAGTTACAGTCTCTATGATGAAATGAATTCCTGGCTTTCGAGCCACAGAAGGTGGGAAAATATAGAAAGGATTAACACAAGTAGCTGGGACTGTGTTTGGCTCCCGGAGCCGCGGGAGCGGCGCGATGCCGGTCCCTGCCACGGGATGCCAGCCTTGGCCTGGGGATGGGAATGCCAGCCTTGGCCTGGGGATGGGAACAGCAGCTGCTCCTTTACCTGTATCTGCTCGGTGCTCCCGACCCTCTGAAACTGGGGTTAGACCTGATAACCTCAAAATAGCTCACACTGGTTTTTATCTGCGTTGTGGTGCCTTCCCTCGCTTTTGTATCACTGGGAACAAGGAAAACGTGTGGGTTATTCCAAAAGGGATCTCTGGCAAAAAGAAGGGGTTTATATGCTCAGGTGAGGGAACTGGCAATGTCTACATGAGCCCATTGTTTGGCCCAGGCTCTATTTCCAGTCCAAGCTGGGTTTCCTACAGCTGTTTCACAGAGAAGCTGTGGCTGCCCCATCCCTGCAAGTGTCCAGGGCCAGGTTGGGGGGGGCAGCCTGGGATAGTGGAAGGTGTCCCTGCCCATGGCAGAGGTTGGAATAAGATGATCTTTAAGGTCCTTTCCAACCCAAACCGTTCTGGGATCCTGTGACACTTGATTTTCTGCATC